ATTGCGCGAACATTGGCCGAACCAACACTCACAATACCTCCACTATTATTTTTATGATGCCCGATTATTGCCCGCGAGTTTTTTGTATGTGTAAATTTTTTGATTCTAACCTCATCGTTCAATGTGAATGCTATTCGACGGTAAGCAGCAGTAAGAGCGAACGAATAAGTATAAACGATTTAAGTTAGTCTGAGATATTACTTCCCAATAAGAATGCAATTTTCAAAAGAAAGAAGACTTACATTCACTGGAATCATCGAAATGAGCAAACTCTGTATCAGAAGTTCCAAAAGAGCCTCTATTTGTGATCTTTGCATTAATGGTATTATCATTACTATTATTACTATTATTATTTGAGCTTATAGCAGTGGGTGATGACTGAATGGAATGGACAACATTGACCGATCCATTGTTTTTATTGGTCGTCCCATTCACGGTTTTATTACCGTTAGCAGTACTGATCATTTCATTATTGTTGGATATCCATTAACAGATGTACTATTTTATTCAAACCATTACTATTTATTAATACACAGTATTATGAAATAATTGTTTTTTTTTTAAATATTATCATGTGTCATTAGCAATCTTATATCTTATAAACTTTTTGTTAGCTTAATAAATAATTAAAGATATTCTTTTTATCTGTACATAAAAAACAAATTTATTATATACATACAGTATATACTATATATATGTATTATATATTTCTTTTTCTTTTAATTGTTATTTTTTTTTGAAATACTATTTCAATTAATTTAATAAATTTTTAAAGATATTCAATATATAGTTTTTTAATTCATTGTAGAAATAAAAACAAATCAAAATTTAAAGTTTATCTAATAATTATTGTATCATTTAATAAATAAATTGTAAATAAGTAAATAAAACTAGGTTTTATACTTGTAATTTTATTGAATGATTTTATTGTTCTTTTTTTAATTATAAATTATTTGATTTTAGTAATACCTAATTATATTATTATATATAATAAGAAAAATAAATATTTTTACTTTTTTTAGTGTTGATATAATTAATTGATTTACAATTTTGATTAATTAAAATAAGCAAAAAGTAGATTAAATAAAAAAGTATTTTGAAAATTTTTTAAAAAATATATTTATTACAACTTTTTTTGAATATTTTTTTATAGTTATATATATATATTGTATATATAATAAATAAATTTTGTTATATCTTTACTCAGTTTGCAAAAAAATGATATATTAAAAAGTATATATTGTGTAATTTCTTATCAAAAACACATCAAGTTTCTTGAAAATGTTTTTTTTTTTTTTTTTTTTTTTTTTTTTTTTTTTTTTTTTTTTTTTTTTTTTTTGAATTGATAAAAGAATAATACAGTATCAATTTTTTTTTTACTTTTTTCTTCTAGATTATCATTTTATTTTATTTTCTTTTTATTTATTAACTGTAATACAATATATAAAACAACTCCAGCCTGATTGAGGTTAACAAAAAAAAATGCAATACAGTATATAAATTAGAGGTAAATAAAAAGGTAATAAAAATATTGTCATTAATAATCTTTCTTTATTTCGCTTTACGTTATTTTTATTAATATGATATATGCTTTAATTAATTTGTTAAGATATTCATTGGTTTTAAGTTACAGTATATTGCATACTGCAAAACAAGTATGTAATTTTCAAAAGACATAACGTTTTATGTCAAAGTTTGGTTATTGTCGGCACTACTTTACGAAGTAAACTCTCTAATTATAATATTTCCTAAAATGAATGCACGATTATTGTTCGTTCATAATAGTACAATTACTGCAATAGGAATAGAAAAGGGTGGAAATATTGGTTGGATACCATTTATCCAATAATTTTCAACTTCAAGAAATCCAAGATGGCAAGGAGATAACAAATATAAACTTGTGAAAAAGTTCGAGATCGTTATCATTGGAGTAAACCTGTGTTAGGAGAAATTTTTACTGTGCATTAAATAATAGAAGTTGGGGGCGTATACTCATTTCTTTAGTAAATGATAGATATGAAAATCGGTACTTTTTTATAAATATCGGTACTTTTTTAAATATCGGTTTTTTTAATAAATATCGGTACTTTTTTAAATATCGGTACTTTTTTATAAATATCGGTACTTTTTTATAAATAAAAACGGAGTTAAATTTACGAGTTCCTTATTTATGCTACACACTAATATCGTCTTCTTATCGTTATATTTCGCAAAGCGATTTACATATTTCTGCGAGGAACCAAACGTAGAAAGTAGCGCATTCGCCTGCAGTTTTCAATGCTTGCTATTGACGCATAATCCTCATTAGCAAAGAAACTTCAAATGCATAATTATTAATATAATAATACTAACTGTAATGATTTTCAAGTTTCCAAAAAAGGTCTTGAAACCGATAATTTCAAATAAAACTTCCCAATCTGTTGGTGGAAGAATGCATATACCAGAAGCTATATAGCATGGAGCATGAGAACCAAATGCCGTATTATAAATGTCTGTGCAGGTAGTCTCGTTGTTATCGTAACTTGAAACCAATTTCCTTTGAAGACAAAGCATTACATTGGTCACCCTATAAAAAGAAATGAACCAATGCATAATCAGAAAATGTGTCGATGTCTTTGGCAAACACGTGTAATAAATATCTACCATTTTTTTCCGGCGGGACTGAACTTGTTTATGGAAATGACAAATTTTTCGCAATTATTATTTCCATAATTGATTGGATACCCCTTAGGTCCACAATGGAATTTCTCTTCCAAACAGCTCATATAAAAATCACAAGTGTTTGGTACAGGATTGTCACAATATGAAGCGATTGTTGGAATAGATGAATAAGATTTTGTTGGAAGTGGTTCCATTGTGATGTTTTCCCTACTCTTGTACCAATGTCCAGGAGGGCACCCAGAGCATGTACTATCTTTACAACAGTAACTTTGACCGTCACCCGTTCCACAACAACCGTATTCACAAGGACCGTATCGGCAAATCTGGTTACCACCAGGATTGCATTGGAAGATAGAAGAAGGGTCAGAAAGGCAATCTAATATAAATGATAATTATAAGTCATAAAAAAAAGCATCAGAAATTGTTCTGAACATCAATATTTACGATTATCCAATTCATAGCCACATTTAAGGCCGCCGACGGGATCATTTTTATTGCATTTGCAACCGTTAGTATCGTTAAAGTCACAGTCTGCAAAGATGGAGATCGGAGAAATTGAGAAGCATAAGAGAAAAAGATAAATAAAACAGTACATTTGCGTTGTTTTTGCAAAAGTGTAGAAAGAAAGAAGTTTTCTTCGAATTAGACATATTATTGGTTCAGTCCAGTCTAATCTTGTCTGGCGCTGGTCTCAGAAATAAACGGTCAGAGAGTCAAGATTAAAGATGAATTCACAGTTGACCGCAATTGATTTGTCACTAAAGAAGGCGGCTTAGTAAAATTGGTTGAGATCAATTGAGGCAATTGCGGCTAATTACAGTTCCCATCTTTAGTTTGCAACACTAAGCCGCAATCGAATTGCAATCCTTTTAAAAATTTTAACCCAATTCAGGAGCCACCTTAACTATGATCCCAGATCGATCATGACTCATGAACTTGCGTGTAAGCTTGTATTTGAGTTATATGACTCGAAATAATAATAATCTAAATATGTGAACTAGAAAATAGAAAACTTTTTTTCAAATAAAGACTTTAAAAACAGAACATCTGTTGTTATTATAACTTTAACAATTCATATTTGTTTTCACAGCGCAAGCATGCCGTCACGTGATTGGAAAGAAATTTTGAGAACAATTGGTTTTATTACTTGTAAAAAAAATAAATAAATCAATAATTTCATTTAGTTTATATTGTATTATATCTTTATATCTAATGCAAGATAATTACTTTGCTATAAATTTAAAAGGTTTTATTTATAAACTTTCTTCTGATCATGTCTGTTTTGCTTAAAATTTTTATATATAATAATTTTAATCAAGAAAAAATATTTTATATTCTTTATTACAAAAGTGAACTTCAACTCAGAAACCCAAAAACACTAAAAGATAATTGGTGCAGTGAAATGAAACTTCTGATTAATATCTATTTAAATTTAGAAATTTTATTTATTCTTTAATTATATAGAGAAAGACCTATAGTATTATATTTTTATTCTTTATTTTTTTGCAATAATCCAAACCTCTTTATTATTATAAAAACTATTCTTGTCAATATTATCAAACTCATTAAACTTATAAATACTTTTCAAAAAATATATTTAAACAAAGTTGTTATATAAGTTAAATTATATAAATAGATTAGTTACAGTTAAACTTATAATTAGTAATAATATTAGCATATATAAAATTACTGAAATATATAATTTAATATAATAATTTAATAAAAACTAGGTATTAATTGCTTTTTTATTTTTTTTAAAAAAAAAAAAATTATTAAGTTTATTTTTTTTAAGAAACGAAAACAACTATTAATCTCTTTATTTATTATAAGTAACTTATTTATTACAGCAGTTTTATAAAATACTAAACTAAACTACATCTTTTTTAACTAAGAAAAGCTTAATGCAAGGCTCAAAAAATTAATCCATCTGTCTAAGTACCTAATAATCACCCAAGCTAATAACAAACTTATTTCAAAACCTTATTAATTCTTGGACAGTATCTAGCAGAAGGCTGAGAAATTAGAAAATACTCAAACATATAAAAGCACTGCAGTCAGATATACAGGTTAACCTTCAAGTCATAATTAGGATTTGATACACTTGCTTTCCAAAGTTGACTTGATATATGGCAAGTAGAGTTGGTAAAGGAGAGAATATAGATGGTACTACTTTAATGTATGAAGGCACTGCAGCCGATTATGTAGGTTGGCCTTCAAGTCACAAGAAGGATTTGATATATTTATTGTTCAAATGTGACAAAGATATTCAATAGATAGAGTTGAATTAGATTTTCATATAGACAATGATACCTAGTCTTGTGCATGAAACCTATATTATTAAGAAGTAAGTAATTATTATCACCAGCTCGTTTATAAGGATAACTAAAATCTCTGGTTTTCATATATTACCTTAATAGATTTCCATAAGGTATAGCACCTAGAGATTTAAGCAATAATAGTATATACCAGTTTTTAAAATATATCTAGTATAGTCATCAATAAGTAAACAATATTGAATTTGGTAGTGATGGTCATGTCAATCCTTTGAAGGATAAACATTTATTCTTTTTCTAAAAAATCATAGAAGTAAGAACTTGTCAAAGCCCACTACTTGGAGAAGGTTGCCACTTCTTGTATAGTTTTTGAGAAAATAGAGTTAACTGGTCAAAGAAGTGATGAAATAAAGTATAGTGTTTTTAGAAAGAAAGAGAGGCCTAGAAGGAAAAACTTCAGAAAAAAGAAAAAACCTAACTTCAGCAGGAAAGAAAAAAAGAGAAAAGAAAAGAGAAAAGAAGATAAAAAGAAAACAATAAGAAGAGAAAAGAGAAGTAAGAGAAAAGGAAAATAAAAGATTTAAAACTAAGAAAAAGAAAAAAGAAAAAAGAAAGGTAATAAAAAAAACAGATTATTTAAAAAGTTTTCTAAAAAGGAAATTTTCAAATGTAGGAAGGGGTGGAAAAAAGTTTTAAAAAAAAATTATTAAATTTAATATTTGTTTTAATATAAATTTTATATATGTTTTTATCTTAGTATTACTTACTAATTACTTAAAAAAATTAAAATTAATTTATCTCTTTAAATTAATTGATACCTGATAATTATCCAATTAAAATTTATTATATTACTTATATCAAAACAATAAAACCAGTTTATTACTTCAATATTAATCACAATAATAACAATTATAATAATAAATAATATCAAGTATATTTTACTATTTATGTTAACAAAAGCTATATTAACAAGTCTTAAAAAATTAGAAAGACAGAATAATGAGCTGGTTCAAAAATTTTCTTGAAAATTTAACTTTTATTTTTATAGTTTTTATAATTTTTTTTTTATTATAAATGAATACACAAAAAAACCTCTTTCCCACTTCTCCTTCTATGCTTAAAAATTTTCTTTTTAGAAAACTTTTTGAGTTGTTTACTTTTTTTCATCCAGTCCCTTCCCCTTTCTTGGTTACAAACCTTTTATTCCTCTCTTCTTCTTCTCTCCCTTCTCTTCTAGCTCTTCTTTTTACTTTCTCTTCTTCCCCTTTATCCTTTTTCCTCTTCCTGCCGAAGTTAGATTTTTTCTTCTCCCTAAAGTTTTTCCTCTCTAGGCCTCTTCTTCTTTTCAAGAATACCATGCCTTATTTCATCACTCCTCTGGTCAGTCGACTCCATTTTCTCAAGAAAAAATAAGAAGTGGCAACCTTCTTTAAGAAGTGGACTTTGACAAGTTTTTCTCTTCCATGTTTTTTTTTCAGAAAAAGGATGGATGGTTTACCCTCCAAAAGATCGGCATGACCATTATTACCAAATCTGGCATTGTTTACTTGCTGACGGCAGACTAGATACATCTAAGAAACTTGTGCACACTATTATTGATTAAATCTCTAGGTACTGCGCCTTATGGGAATCTAGTAGAACAATACGTGAAGACCAGGGATTCTAGTTACCCCCGCAAACAGAGCTGGTGACGTC